AAAAAAGTAATATTTATACTACTACTACATAAATAAATAAATAAAATTAAAAGGGTAGAAAATATCCAGAGAGAGAGAGGGGGGGAGGGGGGGAGGGGGAGAGGGCCATGCATGGGGCCGGCCATCACCCATGTCACACAAAGAAGTCAGGTTTATTAAGCAAAGGAGGAGTAAAAGCAAGGGGGATGGGATGGGGGGATGACCACCGCCGCCTCCTCCTCTATATAGGGGGGCACTTTCCCACCCACCTCCATCTCCCCTGCCTCCTCCCTCCATGGCGAACCTCCCCACCCACGCCACCAACGCCGACGCCTCCGCCTTCAAGCTCTTCGGCCAGGTCATCCAGCCCGACGCCCACCGCGCCGCCTCCGCCCCCGCCTCCACCTCCATCTCCGCGGGACAGAGCGCCGCGGCCCCGCCGCCTCCTCCTCCTCCTCCTCCTCCCCCGTCGACGACGCAGCAGGCCGTGGTCGGGGGCGAGCCGCTGCCATGCCCGAGGTGCGGGAGCAGGGAGACCAAGTTCTGCTACTTCAACAACTACAACGTGCGGCAGCCGCGCCACCTCTGCCGCGCCTGCCGCCGCTACTGGACGGCCGGCGGCGCGCTCCGCCGCGTCGCCACCGCGTCCCCGGGCCGCCGCAGGCCCCGGCCTAGCGCCCGATCGGCCGCCGCCGCGGCCTCGGCCACCGCCTCCGCCTCCGAGGAAGGGGCGGCAGCGGAGAGCGTTGACTCGCGGTCGTAGGCGCGTGCCCGCGGCGTGGTGGAGCAAGAGCAAATGCTCCGTCCCTCCTCCGCAGCTTCCGGGCCGACGCGTCGGAGGCACCGCGACCATCACCCGTCCACCTTTTGGCTCTTTTGTTTTTTGGGGGGATTTATTATTATTACTATTATTATTGATCGATGTAGGTTCCATTTCGATACCATTTTAGGATTCTTTTCGGTGGCCGCAAGGATACGGCCACGGCCAGCAATACGAATGGAAGAGAGGAAAAGGAAACAAAAAATACTCGTACTTAGTTGAAATGAATGTACTTCCTTCCTTGTGAGCCGTGGCAATGATGATGATGATGATGATGATGATGATAATCTTCTCTCTTCCTCCCTTTTGCCGCCCCACGTTTCTCCTCTGCAGCATTCAGTTATTAGATGCAGTGCAGCGCAGCGCAGGGAGGGACCATTCAATTTCAATGGATCACGTGGAACCGGTGACACACACACACACACTCGCTATTGAGTTGAGTTGCTGTAGATGCGCAGCTTAAGTGGAATGCATACGTGGTTGGTGGGGCGATCTTGTAAATAAAGTACCACTTGAAGAATGCCAATGGCATCAACGCAGGGGGGCAGAGGAATCTACACCATCTAGCAGGAAGGAAGGAGGCATCTACTACCTGAGAAGGCTGGCATTATCCCAACAAACAGGCAAGCTCCATCACTTCCACTTTTAGCCATTCCCGTTAGTGATGGCATAGTGTCAGTTTCTTTACTTGTTCTTCTTCTCGTTGTCAACGATAGGCATCGTATTCATGTCATCGATAAACAAAAGTCCCCCACCACCGGTGCATTATCATCACATGGTGTGGTGTATTAAACTCACCACACAACACACGCAGACCGCGTTCCAGTGCGGCATTTGAACAGGGTCAATTGAAATATATCATTTTTTTAGCACTTTGTAAAATATAGAGCTTCCCGAGCTAGTATATTGACAGCTCGCGCTATTTACATTCTGTACTGATCCGAATCCTGCCGACCTCCTTGCGTAAATAATGTTAGATGCCAGCTCAACCATAGGAGTCGGGGTCAGTGCACCAAAAGTTCAAAGGTGTACACTACACGGAACTTGAATTTGTGTTGGCCAACTCCCTTTTGTACAGTCAACAAAGTAAACTTTCTCCGCGGAATGTTGGTAATATGTTCAGACAGTATCCTCAGCCTCAGCGTGCATCTCATCTACGTACCTGGCGGCATCTCCAGGCCCCAGATTAGACTCTTCTAAAACCTTTAATAAGACCTGTAAAAAATAACATGAATGGGATCGGCATTAAACAGAATCAAGTTACTTCATTTCAGACGTGTAAACTCATGCATGCCTACAGTTATGCTGCTTAAAGGGAAGGATGAGCATGAATAAATCTTTAAGATCCTTCAATTTGTCAGAAGAGTTGCACTGATGGCAACTTTGAAATCATGGTGAAGAAAGGATAGGGCAACAACAACCTTCTCTTTGTTTTTCTATTAGCCAAAACAGTGTTCAAACTTCGCGGTTTCCAGCATCAGGTACTGATTCCTGAATCGCTTGAGTAAACATAGCAATCTTGTAGGTAAAGAACCCAACGAGCATGGGTATCAACTCCAGGTGCATGAAGCCGTACTCTGGAACCAGTATCCTGCATCAGAAAAAGCAAAGGCAAACATGCATGTACGTTTTTTTTTGTTTGTTTGACATATTACGAAAATATTTCAGCAGAAAATACTCCCTCTGCCTCTAAATATAAGACGTTTTTGCAGTTCAAGAGGCAGAGGAAGTATTTTAAAAGACTTGATCTACTTACGCATTCCATCGATTGTACATCATCACAAGAACCATTGGAATAAGCAATCTTGGCTGTGCCGCAGCGCCCCTGCAAGCATTCCAGAAAATTTAGATGTTACATGTATTACAAGCAAGTAGACAAGTACCAGCAGTTACCTAGCATTTTCTAAACGCAGTCAAAATATGCTGTAAGTATGTTTTTTAGAAATAACCAAAGGTGATCGACATACGTCATATAATGAATGGAGTGTCCATTGAATAATTCATACTTAGGGATCATGATTCAGATGATGACCATTAGTTTTTCTCTAATCTTTGTTTTGACTAAACCTATGGCTGAAGGCAGATTAGCAATATAAAGAACTTGAATGGAAGGACCTGAACTGCTCATATTTGTCTTCGTGAATCATGAGCTGCCAGTGTTACATAGGTGAAAACAGAACCAGGTCTGGACAGGCTAGGCAAACTTTGGTGCAAGTCAAGACTAGAATGGTTTGTCTGAAATATCTTCAAATAAGAAAGATATCTTTGCTTGCAGGTTTGTCTATCTATCTAACAGATGGCTATGAAAGCCTTCAATTTTGACCACAGAGTGCAATGTTATAAATGAGATCATAATTAAGATTTAGCAGTGTAGCTCTCCCAAACTAAACGAAGTGTGAGCACTGTTTTAAGTATAAGTATTATTAAAGCTTATCGAGGTAAATCCAAATCCAATTTGTAAGAGAAACAGCTAGAAGTATATACTTGGCAGCTGCTTTAGTTCCACCCGCTAAAGAATCCACACTGGTTCCAAGCATGCGGAGATACACCAGAGATCCAATCAGCCCTGCACTAAAGCTGAAGAGTAACTGATATTAGTGTAGCATGCAAGGCAGCACTTTGGAGATAGAATCAACAAGACGCAAACTAATCCTGACAATCGGTAACAAAGAAGGCCACATCCCAAGTTTGTCTAGAAATAAATAGCCAAGCTTAGTTTCAGATACAAAATGAACAAACATCATATATGAGAAGCGCTAATCAAAAGTGAATTCAATCTAACTCGTCCAAGAAAAAGCATACCTCGCAGCAATTTCAGGAGTGTATGAAACATAAGCAGAAACCACCCCGACGCCACCAATACCTAAAGTAAGCAGCTGCAACCTTTCTTTCAACTGCAAAACACCCTCAGTATCAGTAATAAAGTAACACAAATTTGTGCATATTTCATTCTTGAAGAACACTTGGACCTTGAGCACTTGGCAAAGTACAACTCCAAAAGGTATAGTTCGTGTTGATGGTGAACAGGGAGGAAACTAGCAGTACTCGATCCTGATATTGACTTAAAAGAGATATTACCTTCAGGTATTGCTCTCTGGCCTCAGCTGCCACCACCTTAGGGTCCCCTTTCAGCTGCACTTTCTGCTGCGACTCCCTTAGTATGACATCCTAAAAGAGGACCAAAATCCAAAATAAAAAATTAGAGAAGGGGTATTACACCATCATATGTATGTTATAAATGTGAACATGGTGAAATTTTTGTTAGAAGTGTCTCACATGCACACATCAACGGATATCTAGAGATTATTAACAGCAAGTCAGTTATAGAATTGCAACAGCTTACAATGCCACCGGTGGTTGCCCTGGTCGCTCGGTCCCATTGCTCCTGCTCCCGTCGAGTCGGAGCTAGCTTCCATCTAATGTAGGTGGGTCTATTGACAGCCTACATTCGAATTCCAAGAACCCAACTCATTGAGAGCCCCAAGAGGCAAGAGAATAAGGCTACATTCTGAGGGCAAGGAATTTGATCGAATAACCTCAACGCTAGTGGATCGACCACGGCGGGCAGCCTTGAGCTGCGTCTGCAAGATTGACTTGGCCGGTGCCATAAGCTCCTTGCTCAGATCAACATCCACACTACAATGCACACCCTAAGTTACAAAACCTGGCGAAACGATGTCGGGACACCAAGTGAGGAGCAGATGAGGTGAGGTGAGGTGAGGTTAGAGTAACCTGTCAAGGTCCATTGCGCGGTTGAAGCTTAGAAACCCTGAGTCCTCGTCCGCCTGCTCAAACGAATTGCTTGGTCAGGAGCTTACCCCACTGCAGAACATTTATGCTAGAGAGCGGGACTAAGACGAGCGCTTGCTTGCTGCCCGGCCGGGGGCGGGAATGGGCTTACCGGCGTGACGCGGGGGATGGTGGCGGGCGTGTCCGTACCGCCGTTGGCGATGACGCGCTCCATGTGGGGGAGGAAGTTCTTGTTCCAGATGAAGTCGTCGGTGTTGCCAATGGGGTCGCGGTCCTCCTTCCCCATCCAGTACTTGCGCGGCTTGATGGTGGTCGGGCCGCCGCCGTACGACCCCGGCTCCATCCCCGTGGACCACTTCTGCGGCTTCTTCTTGGGCAGTATTATCTTGACCGGCCTCCGCTCCCCCGGCTGGTCCGCGGCGGCCGCCGCCGCCTCTCCCGAGGCCGCCGAGGCGCGGAGCGGGCGCACGGGCGCGGCGCGGCTGGTGACGACGGCGAGCAGCGACATGGCGGGCGGGCCGCGTGAAATATCTCGGCGGGGGAGTGGAGAAGAGAGGAGAGGAGAGGGAGTGATCCGGAATCGGGACGGGTGAACGGGAGAGAGGCGTCGTGTGGTGGCGCGACGAGTCGCGTCCGCGAGTTATCAGTGTATCGAGCCTGCAAAACTGCTGGAAAATATCTACTCTAGTAGCCACTTGCCAGCTTGGGAAAATGTATACATTTCCGAGTTGCATAGGAGTAGTAATTTTCACCTCCATTGCCTTATCGCACCATGATTATATACAGCTGATGGTGTCAAGAACGGGGATGTGCTTGGCACAGGTGGGTAAATTGCAAGAGGCCATCACAATTGAGCAAAAGTCATCAAACACCCATCAAAATGCATGTTTTCTAGTGGGTTTTTTCTGAAGCATTGATAACTTCGACCCAATTGTGATGGTTTTTCGCAATTTACTCTTGGCAGGTGCAAAGTAACACGAAATTCTGAAGAATTTACTGTTTCGAGCTTATGGTTGCCAGGCATGACAGTCTATGGAATGGAACAAATTACTGAAGATCCAGGTTGGATGCTTTCAGCTCGAGGACCAGATATAACAACGATAATAGCACTCCTAGTTCAGGATCCCAGAACCGATGAACTACAAGTCTGAAGCAGAATAAACCTTTCATCCCCTTCACTACTACAGGACAGGGCCCACATGACATGGAAATCTGGTTATATCACACATCTCCCCTGCACAAAAATTGCAGCAAAAAGGAACACAATATTTTGCGATGCCCTGTTTCTCGCAGGCAACAGAAGAGATAGATAGAGGCTCCGCATCACTCAAACACCCTCTGCTCACTGCTCAGAGAGAGCCGGCCAGCATTGTGTAACGCAACATTACGAAGTTGTCTACGCACTGCGGCACCAGGAGCGTTTGAAATGGCGCCTAATCTATTTTTCATGCTATATATTCCAACATGTGCTGCAGTTGGTACGGCGGCGCCCTGTCAAAACACAGCAGATTTGCACACCGGGCACGAGGTCCTCATCCGAAGCCACCTGTCGATGCACTGCGCAAGAAAATCGCACCCACAAAAATTATGTTAGAATGGGAATTCAGAACCCGGAGCAGCTCCAATGTACGAATTCCATGCGTACCTCTTTATGGAATTTGTGTGCGCACGGCAGATGCCGGAGGGGAGCACCATCAGCAGGGCAGTCCAGGCATATAGGGCAGGGCTCGTCTCGGCGGCTTTCTCCCTGACAATGTAAAGAGGGGAGAGGCAAGTAAGTCAAACCCCACAGAAAATGCACATCCATCTGGTATTTTGTAAGAAACTTAATTGAGAACCTCAGCAACAGATAGTGGCAAGCTGTCAATTTCACTGTCAGAAGCTCCTCTGCGATGGTTGTTGTCATCAAGCGCTATCAAGTTCTCATAGTCATCACTAATATGTGAGCAACGAGAAACTATTAGTCAGAAACTCATAATAAATCGAATATGCATGAACCAACAAGTAGTATGAATCAATATCATGCATGAACCAACAAGTAGTATGAATCTGTGGGAGTATGAGGATAGCCATCTAAGTTAACCTATTGGGAGTATAAGGATAGCCATCTAAGTTAACCTATTGGGTACTATTGCACACATAGAAGTAGAGGCTGGAAGGGTGATCCTTTCGCTGTCTAAAAATGCAAACACCGATAAAGCTGTTTTAGGAATTAGCACTTCAGCAATATGAAACAATCCAGAACATAAGCAGAAACAAACAACACATGCAAATAAGTATAGCAAAATCAGGACAAGTATGCAACTATGACAATAATTATATAGCCTGGCTGCAGACATTTCCATCAAAACAACATTGCACCGATGAATTCTTTTTGCTTTAAAACAGTAAGCACTTACTCATCTGAATCTGTAGGATAGGTGTCGGCACAGCTTTCAAGTGCTTCTTGGAGCGAGTCCAGCACAGCCATTCTCTACATTAGAAACACAAAAACATGAGTAGAAGTTTTGGGCATGCCATGCCAGCAAAGATGGTGTTACAGACAGTAATAGAGGCACAACAGTTGACTAGTTTAGGTATTCATGTTCAATATGTTACAAGGTATCACCCCTTGAGGATACAAGCGTTGGTAGTTGCAATGGCCTAGCTGGCAATTACTTTATGCTTTCCAGATACAATTGGCTAATTGTTTAGTTGGCAACTAGTAGTTGAGTCCTCGATAAGAATAGTTAGCTGATTAGTCCATTCTTTAAAAGAATATCTGCATGTAATCTGCAAACCAACCAAAGAATAAACTTCCAATATCCTGAGACGCATTCGCTCCTTCAATCCCCTTTTTCCTACCACTGAAATCCCATCACACTTTAGTATATTATTACATGGACTAGAGAAAAAAAAAGTATCCTCTTATGCTGATGTGGCCTGATCAGGTAAGGGGTGGAAAGAAGGGTTTTGCTTTAGTACGCCACCCCAAGGAAAATTTATGAATTTTAAAGTATGTTGTCTATTATTATTTAGGGGGAGACATTGATTAATCAAATGTATTGTTGGGATAAAAGGAATGGAAACATGTATACTTCTGTTATTACTACCAATAAAATGCAGTATGAATATTTAGGTTTTCACCAGCTGCTCATACATGATAAGTAAACGAGAGGGACACGTAGTCAACCATACAAAGGCCTCTCAATATTCCAAAGTAGAGATGTTCTTTTGCAATACAGGGTAAAGACTAACCATTTCTAAATCCATGTTTTCTTGTCCAAAACACCCTTTGGTCAATTGCGAGATAATCATCTGAGAAATGAGCAAATGTCAGTCCTCAGTCAAGTGAAGGTCGAAAAAATAAGCTTATTAAGGAGTCCTACATTTTGTTGCTCTGATCCCGGGCCGCTGTTTCTTGGCAACCACCGTCTGCTTGTTATTGGAGCTGATGTGTGAGTAGGTGGCCATGAAGTAGAACCTTGAACTTGCGAGCGCCAGCCGTATGAATACAAGTGTGCCATTGAGCGGTCCCTCTGGCTCTGAGCAGAAAGTACAGTTACGAAACTAAATGAAGGATGGGATGCAGATAAATGAGGAAAAGAATCAACAGAATGCCATAGCCAATAGGTGAAAGCAGGGAAATGCAGTTATGAAGTTGGAACTTGAAATACAAGTCAAGAACACAAAACTCAAGAGTAAGAGCAGTATGAAATAATCAAGTTTTAAGCGTTTTGCTAATATGCAGTTCTTTTTTGGTACTGAGTATTCTCCCAAGTTAAGTAACCCAACAACAGGTATTAAGTGATTGCAGGCATATATGATGCCATGCTAACTTTGCCTCAAATATTAGTTGGTGCAATGCAATTCGCCTTTCAGCTACCTGATTTGCAAAGTGCAAAGGTTTCATCAATAAAACAGAGAGGGTAGCTATGGCTTCCGGCAAACTTAACTGAGAGTTATGGGCATCAACATATCAGTTCAGCCATAACTCATAACTAACTGAAACCATGCCACTTTTCATAAGAAGATGATCACATGATTCTTGCAAGATTTTTCAGTGAGCGAGCCCCCACAACATACGCATCAAGACAGAGCGGCAACTTACAGAACTAGATTGGCCCTCTCTCGCAGCAATTCTGGCACGCGCAGCATCTTGCTCTTGCAGTGTCCAAGCTAGAGTCGTATCAACCTGCAAGATGTCAGCAATTGGTTGGCCGTTTAGTAAACTTGCATCAGTAGTGAATCATCAGAAGAAGCCAAGAAAAGACTGCTAGTAGAAGAAAACAACAACTAAGAAACGGAACCTTGACTGAGAAAGGGACAGCAAGATTGAGAAGTAAGCAACAGAAACAACCTGCTGGGAAGATTGCGAGCCAGGCTGTTCCTGGTTGAACTGCTCTTGAAGCTTAAGAGCAAGCATCTCATCTGACTGAATTTGCCTGGCTTTCAACTGGCTCTCGTCAGGGAGTGGGAAATGGAGCCCCTTGATCCTCGACAGCCATGCGCTACTGTCTTCCATGAGTAGCTCAGGAATGGCCATAGAGCTCTGTCCAGGCATCGCAGCACCATCTTCGTTGGGCACAGAGACTGATCTGCAAATCTCATTACCCCAAGTTCCCCAACAACACTCGGCCGTTTCACTTCTTTCATCTCTAGATTTGTGTGCCGCTGCACTCCATGAATCCCACCCCGCAGGCCTAGCTCCCAAGATACCAGCACTGGAACCATGCGATCCTCCCCTGAGCGAAGGGGGTCCTGCTGCCCACGCGCTCCCCCCCTCGCCTGCCTTCTCCTTATCCTTCTTCACCGCCTGACTTGGCTGCTGCGGCGGCCAGGCCATTCTGCTTGTCTGCTCGGGAAGACTCCCGGGGCGGCGGGATGGATCCGCGGGCTCCCAGGCAGGACGCTTCCGATCAGGCGAGTGCGCGCACGCCTCGTCCTCGGAGTCGGATGACACCAAATCCACCACCTCCATTTCCTGCAAAAATGGGGTCAATATAGCATCTTGCAACTTCTCTTTTACAAAGAAAAGAAAAGGATAAGCTTTCGCCCCCTTTGTGCGATTGACACGAAGAAGCTCAAGAAAACTGGTGGCGTGGGACAGAAATCCCCGATTCAAGTGGTCTCGGCACTCAACAAAAAGTTGTTGATTCGTGGTTCTCACTAAATCGTCGTTGAATGGCCGGGAGGAAAGATTGACTGGGCCAAGAAGCCGCGCACAGACGCACGAACAATCTGGAAAGAAAAATAGAAGGAAAAGGGGAAGGGAGGAAGAATTTCAGGTTGGGGCAGGGCATACTACATACCTGCAGAAGGAGAAACAAGGGAGAGAGGGGGGAGCGGAAATGCTAGGGCTGGTGGAGCTCGGGTGCGCCCGTGGGGAGGAGGCGGAGGCGTGTAGGAGGGTGTGTGGTTCTTGGCTCCTCGCTTCCTCTTCTTGATTTTGGTTCTCAGGAGACGAGGCGGGTGCGTTGCTCGGTGGGCGATGAAGAAGGGGTGTCTGCCCGGAAATAGAAAGCTTTTGCACTTTGCCCCCTGCTTGTGACCTGTCACATGGAAATACTGCGTGCGTTCACTTTTGACCGATCTACCTCCTCCATCCAAGATTACTAGTAGAACGCTGCGTTTCTATGGCCTATATGACCATATAAAAATATGAATCAAACAAATGATTAAGTTTATTTTTAAGGTCAAAGTTTATTTCTCCCTCATACGTTCATACATTAATTGGGTGCCCAGTAGCCTCCTCAAAATTCAATTGTCTCGGCAGCCCGGTCACCCCAAAATCCGGACCATATGTGGAGGAGAAATGTCATTGTTCGGACCATCTGCCATGTTATCTTTAAAACGCAGGCCCGACATAAAACCCACCCTATGACGTATCCTTCTTTTTTCCTATCGGACCCCCCTCCCTGCTCGGTTTCCCGCCATAATGGGACATTTCTCGCTGGAGCCCTCTTCTTTAAAATTGGATGGCGCGTACCTCACATGGACATTTTCTTTTTCATATTTACAATATAATAGAGTGGATTAAACTAACACATACTATTATCACAAAACAAAAAATAACTATAGAGATCATTCTCAATGGTCCATTCAACTTTGCAAATGCACGCAGTAAAGTATCATCTTTTCTAGGTTTTCTTGTTATGTTGCAACATGTGCCAATATTTTTCTCCCATTTATCATATAGCACATCTATTATCACAAACCAGTATTTTTCTCCCATGTGCAATTTGGTAAGATAAGAAAAAAGATATGTTAGTTTTGTATTAGAAAAGTTGTGATTGTCATTTAATAGTAGATATAATGAGAACAATAAATGGGAGCACACCAAGGAATATGTTATTTTGTTTTGGAGGTTATCGAGAAAAATCTTATGTTTTCATTTTAGAAAGGTGATCTCACATATGTGGTGCGATTTTTAAATTCTTGATTACCTATTATTTACGTGATTGAATTGAATCAATACCTGCCAAAACAAGCACAAAACAAGATCTCCCGATTTGATGGGATTTGTTTTTTTATGAGAGGGAGAAAATAAGCCAATGGGAGATGGTGATGGGAGTTGAGACGAAAAAATAGACGAAAATAAACCGGTGAGGAGAAATTACCAACTCCCCCTTTAGCAGTATAGATTTTTGACACTAGATAGCCATGAACAATAGAAATGGAAAATGTACAGAAATGATAAGCACATATATGGCCAAACAATCATCATATAATCAGCACATTATTAAGGCCAAAATGACATATTTTAACTCTTTTGGGAAGTTAGCACAAAATGACTCTATCAAAACTCTTTCCATTTTGGTCGATGGGGAGCACAACGGTGTGCTCCGCTTGCCGATACGTGGACGGAGTCAGACGAGATCAAAGGAAACATCAGGGGGTCAGAGAGGAAGAAGAGGAGGAAGGCGGCATTGTCTTGGCGTCTCGGCTCGATGTAGTGCACGCCTTGGACGTAGTCGGACACGAGGGCGCTTCTGGACACTTTGTGGAGGTCGGTGACGATGTTTTTCACGACGTCTCCATGGACGCGCTCTCGGGCTCCGTTGGGGTAGGTGGATCTGGGGCTTCTAGGTGTTCTTTCTTGGCAAAGGGGAAAGATGGGAATAGGGAATGAGTTGCTAACAAGGGCTAGCTCGAGATAAGAATGTGTGGGAGGTAGCATGGGCGAACACGACACAAGGGCTAGCTCGAGATAAGAATGGGCTTTACGATGGGAGGAAGAAGAAAGTGGGTGCGAGCGGCACCCATACTCACAAACGAGTGGAGCCAGGCGAGACACATGGCATGAGTGACTGAGAGGATATGCGGGCTTGTGGCGAGAAAAGGATAGAAGAGGGTTAGGTGGGCTGGTGGCACTAGGCTGGCTTTCTGAAAAGGCCAAAATGCCCTTTGCCTTTTCAACAAAAAACAAGGGAAGAAAATAAAATGCAAGGGCATTTTGTGAAGATGCAAAAATAAAAGGAAAACATATTGTTGGAAGATTATTTAAATTCTTAATTTAGAAAGTGGTTTGGGAAAATCGGGAAGGTTTAAATTTAAACAAGTTTGGGTTAATTTCAAACTGTTTGAATTTATAACCCAAATTAAATGAACTCCAAAATGGCTCAAATTTGAGGAGGTGACCCTACACATTAAATGTGATTTATGGGTGAAGTTTGAATATTTAATTTAAAAGTAAATTTTGCAATGCAGTTTGATACGTCTCCAACGTATCTATAATTGTTTATTGTTCCATATTGTTATATTATCAATCTTGGTTGTTTTATATACATTTACTAGCAACTTTATATCAAATTTTGGGACTAACCTATTGACATAGTGCCCAGTTCCAGTTGTTGTTTTTTGCTTGTTTTTTACTTCGCAGAAAATCAATATCAAATGAAGTCCAATTGCCACGAAACTTTTTGAAGATTTTTTTCTGGCGATGAAGGACCCTGGAAGCTTCTGGAGCACATGATGGGACGCTCATGGGGCCCACTAGAAACCAGGGCACGCCAGGGGCCTCCAGCATGCCCTTGTGGGTAGTGGGGCTCACGGGCACCCCCCTTGACCTACCCCCGCCTCTATAAATACTCTAAAATCCCCAAAACCCTAGGGGAGTTAACAAAATACAGTTTTTGCCGCCGCAAATTCCAGAACCACGAGATCCAATCTAGAGGCCTTTTCCGGCACTCCGCCGGAGGAGGCAACGATCACGGAGGGGTTCTTCATCATCCTTGTTGCCCCTCCGATGATGCGTGAGTAGTTTACCACAGACCTACGGGCCCGTAGTTAGTATCTAGATGGCTTCTTCTTTCTTTTTGATCATCAATACAATGTTCTCCTCGATGTTCTTGGAGATCTATTTGATGTAACTCTTTTGCAGTGTATTTGTTGGGATCTGATGAATTGTGGGTTTATGATCAGTTCCATCCATGAATATTATTTGAGTCTTTGCTGAAATCTTTTATGAATGATTTTTATAGCCTCGTATTTCTTCTCCGATTTATTGGTTTGGTTTGGCCAACTAGATTGATTTATCTTGCCATGGGAAGAGGTGCTTTGTGATGGGTTTGATCTTGCGGTGCTCAATCTCAGTTATAGAAAGAGACATGGCACACATCTATCGTTGCTATTAAGGGTAACAAGATGGGATTTATTCATACATGGGTTTATCTTGTCTACATCATATCATCATTCTTATTGCATGACTCCGTTTTCCATGAACTTAATACACGAGATGCATGCTGGATAGTGGTCGATGTGTGGAGTAATAGTAGTAGATGCAGGCAGGAGTCGGTTTACTAATCTTGGACACGATGCCTATATACATGGTAATTTCCTTGGATATCGTCATGATTATTCGCTTTTCTATCAATTGCTCGATAGTAATTTGTTTACCCATCGTATGCTATTTTCTTGAGAGAAGCCTCTAGTGAAAACTATGGCCCCCGGGTCTATTTCCTATCATGTTAAAACCAAAAATACATTGCTGGAATTTTCTATTATTTATTTTATTTTGTATTTTTGTTAGATATATTTACCAAAACCTATACAATTTAATCCATCTCAATACCGTTGAGGGATTAACAACCCCTTCACGCCTTGGGTTGCAAGTATTTGTTGTTTGTGTGCAGGTGTTGTTTACATAGTGTTGCTTGGTTCTCCTACTGGATTGATAACCTTGGTTTCATAACTGAGGGAAATACTTTCCTTTATTGTGATGCATCATCCTCTCCTCTTCGGAGAAATAACAACGTAGATACAAGCAATCATAGTTTTTTTTAAAGGCTTTAAAAGAAAAGGCTCCAATCTGTAAAGTTGAAAGCTTACAAGTTACTTTCTGAATTCAAACCAAGTTTTCAAATTGTTTGGAAACAAATAAATGCAAGATGAAAATAACTCAAGACCAAATCCATACATTTCATCCAATAACTTAAATTACTGTTACAAATAGGTCCATAGAGGCTGGGTTTTTGGGTGGTGTTGTTACAATATCTCATAGGGTTGAAATCCCCAGTTTATTATGTTCCAAGCACTTCGTGCATAGACCCAACTACTAGAATCCTAAAAAGCAGCTAACATTTTTATGCAGTTTCATTGAAATGGATGTACATGTTTGCACAAATTGCAAGAGGAGAAATCGATACAATCGAAAGTGAGCATCCCATCTTTGAATCTTTCCTGCACCATTGGAGGTCCACCCTCGTAATAAATTGACATGCAAATCACAAATATTACTATCTAATGAATGTATAAAAACACTAGAAAAATAGTAGCAAACCACGTACCTTGGTCATGAACAAATCAAATTGCGGAGAATTAGATATCTCTATTTGCATAAAAAGATACTTAGAATGATGAACCATCCATTTTTTTGCAGTTCCACTAAAATCGAGCATCTATGTTTGCACAGATGTTGCAAACATGTGATTACTATAAAATGGCACTAGTTGATGAAGCATAGACTCACAACTAGAAGGG